TGCGAATGACCATCCCGCGCGGAGAAAATCGACACCCCCCGCTCTCGCAAGCGCGTGCAGGGTGAGCTGTGGCCGGATGCGGCTTCTGGTGCTGCTGCGATGCGGCTTTTGCTGCGGCGCTGCTGCTACTGTTACGGCGGCTTCCGCCCCCCGCCACTTTGGGGCCTTTGCACCCCGCGGCTGCTGCGTTTGCGGCTGCGGCTGCGGCTGCTGCGGCTGCTGCGGCTGCGGCGCTGCGGCTTCTGTCGCTGCGGCGTTGCTGCTGCTGTTGCGGCGGCTGCCGTCCCCCGCCACTTTGGGGCCATCGCAGGCTGCGGTGGCTGCTTCTGCGGCTGCGGCTTGCGGCTGTTGTGACGCTGCGGCTGTGCTGCAGCGCCGGTCTCCTCAATTGACCACGACAACGCTGCTGAACGAGGCGATCCTCTTTCGGAAGCTCGTCGTGCACACTTGGCACGGCATCCGTGGCGAAGTCGAACTCAGGAGAGACGTCGGCTGAGAACATGTAGTTTGCCAACCCTAGGCGATGATTTGTGCCCACCCGCCGCCGGACAGAGCCCACACGAGGAGAGACTACTTCCGCCCCTCACTCTGTGCGGCTTTAGTTTGACATGGGGCTAGGGCTTGTCGCCAACCCACGTCCGAATAAAATGACATCATTCTCCTCCCCCTCCTCCACCCCCTCCTCCCCCTGCCCCCTTCTGTGCCAATTGGGCACCTGCAACACATCCACACAGTCACGCTCACAGCCAATCACTGCGATGCATCTACCTACCCTGCGCCCTGCACCGCAGTTGTCTGCACAACTTGACGCTGGCCGGCAGCGCGTCCAGAAGCGTCCGCGAAGCGCCGAGAGCTGGCTGCACGCTGATTTGGGTGCGCCACTTGGCGCACCAGCGCGTCGGCAGCAGCCCGCACTCGCGCTCTCTCTCACTCTCACTCTCTACTTTGTTCTCTCTCTACCTCTCTCCCTACCTCTCTCTCTCTCTCTCCGGAGCCAGTGGGCCGTACGCTCTCTCCTGGTGGGCGGCACGGGCGCCACACTCCGCCCTCCGAGGAGCGAGGGGCCGGCGAGCTTCGCGGCGCTCCCCGGCGGAGCTGAGGCGGCCGCTGCCTCGCCAGCGAGGGGGCGGACGGGCCACGCCGCACCTGCCCGAGTGGGCGTTGGCGGGACAGGGTTCAGTTGGATCTCGAACCTCGAACCGCCGCCCCCCACCCCTGAGGCGAAAGGTGCCCCCGATAGACCCACCCCCACTCCTACGCAGCGGTGCGCAACGCGCAGTCTGCCTTCGAGCCCTCCCGAAAACCTCGAGCTTCGAACCGAAAAGCTTCCGCCCCCTTTCGGGCGTCGGCGGGACTGGGTTTAGTGGGACCTGGTTTAGTGATGTGTAGCGGGGGACGCCCCCCCCCCCGCCCCATTCCACTGATCGGAACTGCCGTCACGCGAAGAGACACCGGCCACAGCAGACCTGACGTGGCGATTCCGGCCCATTTGGGGGCGCTTCGGAGCCCACTCGCCGACCGGCTCACCTTGCCCAGGGCCCTGGCTATACCCCTCGTCAGCGAGGGGGCGGACGAGCCACACCGCACTTGGCCCCATCGAGGAGGTGCAGGTCGGTCGCACAGCGCCCTCGAGCGACGGGGCCTGGAGAAAGCCCCGTGGCGCCACACGAGGGATCCAGCGAGCTGTGCGCCGCTGCCCTCGTCATTGAGGGGGCAGACGAGCCACACCGAATGAACAACATCGGACTGGGACACACTGAAGGCCTCTAAGATCCGGCGGTTCTGGAGGATGTCTCGGGCGCCGCAGCCTTCTCAGAGCGTTCCAGAACGCTTTGAGCGCGTTCTGGAACTCTCCGAGGCGATATATCCCTGTCCTAGCCCCACCCGAATCAGGGAGAGGGAGGATGAGCCACGCCGCACCCTCTGGCCGAGGGGGCAGGCCGGCCGCATCCTAAAGTCGAATAAAGAACAAGGGGCTTTTCTGGCCACGGCGAGCCTCGGCCACGAACAGGTTTCCTGATGTGAGGAACCTCTGGTTTTCTCCTGAGCCCAAGGTGGTCCTTACTTCAGCGTCTTGACTGAAGGGAGCCGAACTTCGCGCATCGCGCCCCGCGATGCGCGATTACCTTCTCGCCATCGCGCCGCTCCCTGTTGGAGAAGGGCAGCCGCCCGCGCGAGTACCTTCGCGCCCTCGCGCGTCCTCGCGCCACCACGTTTGGAGAGGGACAGTCGCCCTGGCCCAGGCCGCGACGCGCGAAGCGCGATTATCTTCACGCCGCCGCGGATGATCTGGAGGACCGCGCCGCATCGCTGATGCATCGAGGATGCAACTGGCGCCGTCGGCGTGGAGAAAAACAGGCTCCACATCGAGTCGCATCGTCGATGCATCGGCGATGCGGCGCAATCCTGTGATCCCATCTGCTGTGAGAGCCTTGGATGAGGAATCCAAGCTTGAAGCCTGCTGGAACACCCATTGAAGCTTAGCCGTGAACATCACCGCCGCCCTCATCAGATAAGGACCACTCCAGGGTCTAAAGTCTCTTGGGCACATTCCTTAACGAACGCCCCCACCGTAACTACTCGGACCCCACTGAGGAGGCCTGGAAGCCTGCCAAACTCGAGGCGCCCTCCTCCTCCCCAGGCCTCCACGCGCCGTGGAGGATATGGACAGAGGGATGTTGCCACTCGTCGGCCCCTGGGAGCCTCCGCCGGGCCACGGGACCGTCAGAGAGCTGCCGGGGACGAGAGATGGGCCCAGGGGGAGGTCAGATGCACTCGCTCCACTCATGCGTCAATGCTGCGTCGAACGTCCGTCGACTTGAATCGAACTTGGGTCCAACAGATCCGTTAGGAGGACCCCCAGAAGGTTCCCCAAAGCCTGGGCCCTGAGCCTTCCCCCCGGGACCAGCTTGTCGTCCCGATTCGTTTCTCGACGGCCCTTGGGCCCTCGGGAGGCTCTGGATCCGCTTCCTTCAGGGCCCCTCCTCTTCATGGTGGTCCTCCCCCTAATTACCTCTCACCTCAGACAGATCTGGCCTCAGGCTGTCCCCGGGAGCGTTCTGGCCAGAACTCCGAGACACATGCGGTCGTGGCGACGAGCCCCACGGGGTCCCAGAGCGGAGGAAGCACCGCCCAAGGGCACCGAAGCTCGAGGCCACGAAACTCGACCTCCTTAACGCCCAACTCTCCAGGCAAGGCCAAAAGGGGCCACCCCTAAGATGGGCGCAGACATCCTTCAGATAACGTGCCCTCTTGGGAACACCCAGCCCCCCACAGACATCCCAGACCTCCTCGATCCTCGATCCTCTCTTCTCCTCAGCTTCCAAGAGGAGATGGTGACCCCCACCTACTGCCAGGAAACTTTGCTTGGCGTGTCGCGGCGGTGGCCCCTGCGACGCGCTATTCCCTGCGACCGGATAGCGCTTCGCTCCGCTCCGCAGGGTGGGAGGCTGGGAAGCACTCGGCACGTTGACGCCTGGGGACCGCGACTTGCTCAGCGTCCGCCGTCCTTGCGCAGGCTTCGGCCAGCGGAGCTGCACTCGTGCCGCAGTCATCCTGCTACCACAAGGCTCGCTGAATAAGGGGCGCATGAGCGTTTCTGGCCACCACGGCGAGCCTCGGCCACGAATAGGCTCCCCGACCAAGATCTAAGGAGCGGTCCGAAAATGAGAGCCCATCCTGAGCCCAAGACGGTGTTTCTTTCGGCATCTTGTTTGTACGTCCGCCGCGTTTGCACCGGGTACTTCGAGTCCGGCCTCGCCAGCGCGCCAACGCGCCGTACCTGCAAGGACTCTGCGACCCCGCCCCGTCCCTTCTTGCCGGCGCCCACGCGCAAGGCTTGCATGGCCGGAGCGTGCCCCCCGCCCCCCCGCCCCCTGGGCTCTCCTCTGGCCGCCCCTCCCTCCGCGCCCCTCCGCCCTGTGCCTCAATGAGTTCGCCTGCGTCCCAGTGCACTCTCGAACGCTGCCTGGACTTCTCGCGGCCGCGGGACCAAACGAGAACGTCCGCCGCCTTCCGCCGGCCTCCCGCCGAACCCCCTCTGTCTCGAGGCGAGGCTCCTCTACGGACCGCCTCAGGGGGAGGGAGTGGCCCACCCTGGTGGTGACCGCGCGTGGTGGGCCAGCGCTTATCGTCGGAAAAGTGGCGGGCCAGAACCGGCGGGTGCGACGCGCCAAGCAAACTTAGCACGGAGCCGACGGGTCCTGAAGGAACCGGGTCCTGGACCCCGAGGCCTCCTCCCAGGACCACGGGCCAGGGAAGCCAAAAACGGCGGAAAAACTCAGGACCCGTGTACCTCAGAACCCGTTTCCTTCATGGCGCCAAACGTGTACGACAAGCTCGTGTCGTGACGACCCCTGCATTGGTCTCGGACACCGTGTGGATCGTTCAGGAGGACGAGGAGGAGCTAGAAGAAGAAGAAGAGGAGGAGAAGCAAGCGTCCTGGACACGATGGACCAGGACAGCATGAGCTTCGAGGCAAACCCGCGCGCGCCACCAAGGCGCCATTGACACCCATCATTCTGGTCTCGTTTGTTCTGGCACGAGTGAGACCTCGAGCGAGAAGCAGAGAAACAGAGGAGGAGGAGGAGGAGGAGGAGGAGGAGGAGGAGGAGGAGGAAGAGGAGGCACAGCGTCATCACAAGAGGTTCGTCACCCGCCCGATGCTACAATACCTCTGCTGCTGACCCATGCTGACTCTGCACAAAATCAACTGCCCTGCGAGCCGCCTTCGCGATCGAGACTGACTCTACCACTGGAACGCTCTGCCCTGCACTGCTGCTCCTCGCCGCATGGAGGCGGTGGCTTTGGAACATCAGGGCAACGACTCGGACACTGGGAGGCGATGAGGAGACGAAGGCGAGGGCCTCGCGGGAGCAGGAGAGAGCGAGGAAAGAGGCACACGCTCGACAAAAAGCCCGAAAGAGGGATCTGGATTCTGAAGGCGCGCGTCCGTGACCCAGCCTCCTGGCCAGGTCTTCACAAACGCTATTCTCCAGGAGGGTGGGAGCTCAGAGAGGGCAGCCCTGACCGAGACCCCGTCGTTGGCAGACACCTCCTCGGGGCCTGGGGGGAACCACCTCGGGGGCTTCTACTTATGAGCTCCGCTATGCTGGACATCACAGCACACGGAACAAGCGAACGAACAATCCTAGACTGCAGGCCGACCTTCCCCCGACCCTCCCCACCCTCCGCCTCTAGTCCATCGCGCGCGCGCGCCGCCGCACTCGAGGCGTGATTCGGGATCCTCGACGTGCTGGGAGGCATCCTCAGTCACGGCGCGCGGTGATCGCGAGCGCGAGCCGCCACCGTGCGCCATGATGACAGCGTGGAGGCAACCGCACGCATCCTCGAGGCTGGGGCGCACGCCTGGAGAGGATCGGTAACTGGGAGGCCGAACTCGAAAAGGTTGAACAAGCCGCAGCGCCTCATCGAGCTGCCTGAGGACCGTATGGGCCTCGTGAGCACGAGCTGCTCATCATTGAAGAGGGGTGCGGGCAGTGCGAAAATCTGAGCATTGTAGCTCAGAGCAGCGACCATCTTCGTCTGGCACTCGTGCAGCAGCTTGGTGGGGTCGAGCAGCGTCGCCGCTGCAGAGATGGCGCGCTGACGCCAGTTGGCCAGAGCAGCGTTCCGCTGCTCGCTCAGCGTGGCGGCTGGGCCCAGCAAACAACCCAGCATCTACAACTTGTCGGCGACATGATAACGGGACCCGCCCGTGCATGCCGCTTCCAACTCCACCTCGATGCCCATCGGTGGCCTCGGGGCCGGATGGGGCCCGGCAGCGGCGCGCATATGCACTTCTGGAGCTGCAGGGCAAGACCCGCCAGCCGTTCACACACGCGAAAGATGCGGCCCGCGCATCGCACCCCCTTCATCACTCCCTTTTTAATTATCATCGAACCCATCTGCTCAGAGAGACCCGCGAAGCTAATTTAATTCCTGTGCACTTACCGAGTGTCACCGAGAAGCGGCGACGTGACTCGCCCCATACAAACCCACCCCGAAAAAGAACGGCGAGCAAAGCGCAACTATTCAGTGAAACTCTTCGAACAAAACAACGGCGACGACGCACCAAAACACTTACTGGGACACATGCGAACTCTGCAACAAGGGCATTTGGTGAAACTCCCTGGATCTCCCTATGAAGCCACGCACTGTGTGAGGGGTATGCCAAAACTGGACTTGGGACGCATGTAAGCCCTGCTATTGAGGTTTTCAAAGGAGCTCCTATGAGGCCACGAACCGTGTGGTGTGTGTGTGTGTATGTCTGTGTGTGTGTGTGTGTGTTTGTGTGTGTGTGTGTGTGTGTGTGCGTGTGCGCGCGTGCCCCAATTTGCCAGAGGACATCTGTGAAACCTGGCGTTGGGGCCTTCGGCGGCGCCCCCCATGAGGCCACGCGCCCAAAGGAGGCCCGCGAAGCCGCGGTCCGCATCACGCGTCCCAAAGAACGCCGAGGAACCCCGGGAAAAAACAGCGACGAAAAACCCTGCGAAGACTCAGTGCACTCCCCGAGAAAACGGGAAACGGCGACGCCCAACCTCGGGGGGTGTGCCCGCTGGAATCTCCGCTGAGGGGGTGATGCCCCCTCCACGTTGACGGCGACGGCGCCGATATCGCCAGCGCGCCAGCGAGCCCGCCCCAGCCGACGACGTTTCAGCTGCCGCTCGCGCGCGCTGCTGAAGGGCGCCGCCGGAAGCGCGAAGACCGTGCCCGAGAGCGGGTCGCCCTGGAAGACGCCAAATAGGATGGGGGGACTCACCGCCCTCTGCGGCGAGGAATCCAATCCGCACGCGTCATCATAAGGAATCAGAAGTAAAGAGCGAGCGCCACAAAGGGGGGCCTCACTGCCGAAGTGCCCAGCCGACCCAGTCGCGGCTGACGCTCGAGGGGCCTGCGCGAAGTCGAAGTTGAGAAGGTACGGCGGGCGCCTTGCGCGCGAGTTTTGGTCAGCGTCACACGAACGCACGAAGCGAGGCGATGCGCGCGAGGCAGTCCATCTCAACCGCGTCATCCATGAAATTGCGGTGACGGGCGAAGCCGCGCTGGCTGTGGGGGCCACTATCATGGCAGCCGCACTCAGACGCGCGTCGACCGCGCGCGAGATGTCACTGCACTGTCCTTGCAGACGTGCTGCAGTGGATTTTTGCGTGGATTTCTGTCGAGGGAAAACCCCGAAACGGCGAATGAAAAACGGGGTGAATTTCGTGTGGGTTTTGTTAGTCTTCATTCCTGGCCAAACGAATCCGCACGAAATTCACCTCGAAATCCGGAACGAAATTCTCCAGGACACTCCGGGCCCGCCCCATCGTTTTCCGAACGACATCCGCTCTGCGATGTTGGCGCCATGAAAGATGGCCTTCGCGGCCATGCTCTTCAGCGCAAAGGGTCCGGCGTCCGTCGGGTCGCGCGCGACCTCGACACCCGCGGAGTCAATCACCTTCCTGGGCGGGGAAACGCACGCCCCGTCACGTCATCGAGGCCCAGCAGCATGGCGCGCCCGCCCGCCGCCCACTCCATCACGTCAGCCAGAAAATCGACGCCAGTAGGATGCGCCCCCCACGCCGCAGCAGAAAGCCCGTCAGCTCCAGGCGTGGCAGGCTTGGCACGCTCCTGCGCGATCTGTATGCGCCGCATTGACGGGGCGGGGATCTCGTCCCAGTCGGGCTTCGCGTGGCCGCGCCTGCCTGGGAACGCCCTCGCCTTGCGCTCCCGAGCGGCGCGGATTGCCGCGGGCCGAGGCACGGGGCAGCCAGGCCCTCCCGCGCCTGTTCCGCAATCTGCGTCTTCGCACAGTCGGTCAGGAGGGCGCCCAGGCATCGCTTCGACAAGGGGGCCCAGAGCGCCGACCGCCTCTGGAGGGCACGAAGCTGACCACGAAGGCGTCGCTGATCTGCACAATGAGACGGCGCGCCGTCGAGCTCCTGTCGGCTCGCCCCAAGCGAGGAATTCGCTTCCGCGGGTTGGGCAGCCGCGTGCTTACGCTTGAACTCGGCAGCGCCGGTCAACTTCACCCCCGCCCCCTGGTCGAGCGCTACCGCCTCCTGCAGCCGGGCGCGGCGGGACAGCGGCATCTCGCCCATCTCCCCGCTTTGCCTCGCAAGCGCCCTCGCCATTTGCCCGCGCATCATCGCCACCGAGCTCTTTGTCTACGAAACAGAGGGGGGCAGAAGGTCGCGCACCTCCCGCGCGGCCGCCTGCGCGGGGCGCCAGTAAGTGGCCCGCGGAGCCACCATCTCGGTCGAACCTCTCTGCAGATGAGCCCATCGCCAGTCCTGCGGGAGAGATGCACGCGCCGCCGTGTGCTCGGGGAACTCGAAGTTCTGGTGCTCGAGGTGGTCGCCGAAGTTGAACTCACCTGATACGATGATGCTGCGCTCCCCGGGCCCCCCCTGCAGCCCAGTGAAATTTCACGCAGCTCCACTTGGGGGCGGCGGAAGCGGGGGGGGGCAACCGCCGCTGAGACAGCAAAAGGCCGCTCAAAACACAACCAAAAGCTTCCAAACTCGGGCATTCCGAGAACCTCTGCCCCTTGACCCAGAGCGAAGAAGATATTGATCCCGCTGGTTTGTTCCGAAGCACACAATCGCAATGGCGTGTTCAGACGTAGAAAAAGAAACGCCGATAAACATGCACCCAGGCCCCAGCCGCTTCAGTCACACGCAGAGCCAACCGAGAGCGACATCGAGGCGTTTTCCAACTGCCGCATCGGCGAAACATATGAAGAAAAATTCACATGCGCGGGCCGCCTTCCGAGAAACAAAAAGACGATCTCGCGCCAGCAAGCGCGCTCAACTTTCGCCCCCCCCCCCCCGTTGACGCCGCCCCCAAGTGGAGCTGAAGGACAATTCTTGATGAATGCGATCCTGCGTGGATCTGGCCACGCCTGCAAGGATGGCACGATTATGACGATTATGCGTATTCCACTGGGCAAAAACCTCGCGGCCGCGCTGCTCCAGCAGGTCGTCGCAGAAGTTCGCGACCACGCGCGGGACCCGCCCGGGCGCGATTGCCTCGCGATGCCAGTGGGTGCGCCCAGGCCCAGCGAAGGCAGGGAACAGAGACGCCACGCCGCCAACGCCGTCGCGCTTGCCAGCCGAGAAAGGAACACCATCTGAGCGCGTATACCCGCTTTGCGAAGTAAGCCGCGCAAGCCAGAACCAGAGGCCCAGAACTGCACTCTGCCCCAGAACTGTCTCAGGGACGTCTCGCGACGCCAGGCTGCCCGAGCAAGATGCTGGCGAAGCGCCCTGCAATGCCGCTCCCCAATCCTGATCGCGCCTTCTCTGCCCAAGAGGCACGCGAAAGTGCTGCAGCACCCGCTCTTGAATCTCAGGTTCCACAATGGTCTGGGTCGCATCGTGCAGCTTCTGTTTGTCCAACGCCATGCGCAGCATAGCCCGCGCGTTCTACTGCGCTGTCGGCGTGGTGCCTGAGCTCTCGATGAGGAGCTGCCCGCAATTGAGCGAGAGGGCGGTCTCCGAGCGGCGCGGGCCGACGGGGTTGACGAAGGTCTGTAAGCCCACCGCGGCCCCAGCCAGCTTGCGCATGCGCTTGGCGATAATCTCCAGCGCGACATGCCTCCCATTCTTGTCGACCGAAAGCGAGATGGGATCCGCCCACCTGTCGGGGACTCCGCCGGAGGATCCCCCATCTAGCGTCTCTGCCCTGGCCAACGCGCGCGCATCCCAAAAGCCCCCGCGCCCGCTGCTCAGCATGGCTGGTGCATCCCTCCACGCGCGCGAAGAATTTCGCGCCCATCTCCCCCCCCCCCCCTCGATTTTGCAAATGCCGGCCATCTCCGCAGCCTCAACCGCCGGCTTGAGCGCCGCGCCCAGCGCTGCGAGCTGGGGCGGCGCAGCCTTCGACTCCTCCACGGGGCCGAGTGCCTTCCGCATGCGCGCGACCTCAGCCTCGAGCCGCGCTGCCGCGTCGGCAGCCCCCCGCCGCGCTTTCGCCATCTCCACCTTGTCGTCGTCGACCTCCAGGCGCAGCTGCGCGCGCCAGATCCCCTGCGCGCAGGCCCGCTGGCTGACCCGCTGGCTGACTCCAACGATCTGCGCCTGGAGGGCCTGCCGCGCCCGCCTCATGCCGCTGGAGAGGGCGGGGGCCAGCGCGGCGCCCTGGCGGCCGAGAGCGGACCGGCGATCCCGTCGAAGCGCGGCCACCAGACGTTCGGGCGAGAATGCTCCATTGTCGCTGGCGCGGCGGGGGGCGGCAGGGGCGGCCCCCCCCCCCGCTCGGCGACCCAGGCGTCGGCCCAGCGACGCGGGAGGCAGGGCTGATAGCAGCCGCGGCGGCCCGGGGATCGAAGGAGGGGCTGCAGGCAGCTTCGGGGGTCGCCCCGACAGTTGGAGGAAGCTGCCCATCGCCGCTATCGCCGCCATGGGCGCCCTGAGAGACGAACGCCGGCACGTGCTCGAGGTCGCGGGCGATCCGGGGCCAGTCCTCGTCATTTTTTCGGCGGCCCCGCTCTGCCGGCGGCGATCTGGTCGCCGACCGCGGCCTCGGATGAGATGGCCACGATGGCGCGGCCGATGTCCGCGGCCCGCGCGGGGGGCGGCTGGGGCGGCGCAGCCTGGGACTCCTCCGCGGGGCCGAGTGCCTTCCGCGCGTGCGTGACCTCAGCCTCGAGCCGCGCTGCCGCGTCGGCAGCCCCCCGCTGCGCGTTCGCCATCTCCACCTTGTCGTCGTTGGCCTCCCGGCGCAGCTGCGCGCGCCAGGCCCCCTGCGCGCGGGCCCACTGGCTGACTTCAGCAA